ATGAATGTAGGTGCCTGTCTATAGGTATTCACAGTTGAGGGTAGATTACTAGTGTTGTTTATCGATGAATGTAGGTGCCTGTCTATAGGTATTCACAGTTGAGGGTAGATTACTAGTGTTGTTTATTTTTGTTTTGCTTTGATTTGTTTTTGCACACAAATTTAACTTACTTTAGTGTACCTGATTAGCAGAATACTAGAAGGTTTTAGATTTATATTTAAGGATTTTTTTATCTAAAGATGGGACTGCTTCAGTTTAGATATGTATATTCACTCTGATAAGGACCTATACCATCTTCTTATATTAGATGCTTACTTGAGTGTAGTTATGGCATGATGCTAGAACAATTAACAAACTTGTGGAGACACAAGCTTATTGTGTATTATTATCTGCTTATTATTCACATTTTAATTATGATTACATGAAATAATTATTTATATATCTAATGAACAATATAATTATAGGACCCCTGGGTTCTGACAATGTCTTATTTTTAAGGGCTTCACATACTTTGACAGTTATTTTCACTGTGTATGAAAATAGAATATTATGCATCTTCTCTTGGTGAAATGACTGCGTGACTAATTCGTTATTCTATCACATAAAATAGCACTCAATAAGTGCTTACCAGGAGAATAAATGGCACATTTGTCATCTGAGGACTTAGTTACTGTAGACTATGTGCTCCTGGTAACATAATGATCAGAATTTACAATGATGGCTTTGAAGAAATACAGAATTCTTTAAAGGCTTCTAGACTTTCCATTATTAAAGGAAGAGTCTAATTCTGCAAACAAATGATACATATGCCAGTCATTTTTTGTATAAAATATCTATACAAAAATATCCTGTATCATAAGAAAACTGGGTAGGATAGATTTTCATATGGTTAGATGAAACATTTGGTTTCTAGTTGCCTCCTTTATAATTTTTTATGGTGTGAACTCTTTCTTCCTCTCTCTCTTCCCGCCCTCCCTCCACCCCGTCCTGGAAATGCTAGGGACTAAACTCAATCCCTCATGTTAAGCACTCTGCCACTGAGCTACATCCCAGCCAACATGGCTTCTTTATTAATCCATTCTCTGAACTTACCCGAGACACAGAAAAAGATTCACAAAGATTAACACATCTTCAAAAGAAAAGTTATGTAAGTGTATATAGGACAAAAGAAGCACTTTACATGACTTTTAGAAACACCACTTGCTTTTCCGTTAATGCCTATTTTATTGTTTATATAAAATGAAATTTGCTCAATGTATTATTCAAGTTCTTTTACAAAGTTATTAGCAGATGTTGTCATTCTTGTCTTCTATTTTTGAAATTCCACTGGAATTTGGGCACATGGGACGCATTATAGACATTACAAGTTACCATTGCTATCTTGGCTGGAGTCCCAAAAGTTAGACTCTGTAGTTTTCTGGATAACTGAAGTAAAAATGTTTCTGATACTTAAGATGGCCTCAAATTTCTGGTAAATACTGATCAACTATTGCTCTCAGGTTACACTCTCTTTTGTAGCTCTGTTATTGATCAGCATGTGCATGTCAAGGCAATGAAATGAGACAGCCTTGATCAGAAGGACCAAGTGTCTAGAAGGCTGGTGGGAGACGTGTAGGGTAAACAAGATGCAGACATTTTAAAAACATTTTGCAGGTACATGCAAGACATAACATTCAGAAATGTTACTATCTCCTGCAATTAGTTTTGTGGCTTTATAATTACATAGTCCTAGTTTGTGTGACAAAATCTGATCACTAAAATATTTGGGCTAATAAATGCCAAATAATAATAGAAAAATATTTTCATGTAAAGCAGATTCTAACAGCTTGGTCAGAGCCATCTTTAGAAGCAATTGCAATTGTTTTCCACAGTCACACTTGAAGTGCCCTGCTTCTTTCTGCAAACAAGCATGAATCTTCCATGAAGAAACTCAGTCTTTAAGAGAGCAGCGCACGTGGACCTGAAGATCTCTGCTGCCTGGTGGGGATGGTGTGGGATGTGTCTGGTACTTTGCCACACAATCAGACTAAGTTAAGAGAAAACTGGAGTTTCAGAATATGAGAAGAAAGGACCAAATAGTTCTGACTCCCAAACAAAAGCAGCAATGTCACAGGATTGCTATGGAAACATACTCCCCCATGTGGTCTGCTTGTGAATAGTACTGTGTCCGTTCAACAGCCCCTTCCCTTGGTCAAACACTGCTTAGCTGGTTTCAGTTCCTGGCACTGTACTCTTTGCTGGGATGCAGTACAGACAGACTAGGGCTGTGGTGATGCATCTTACAGGCACCATGTGTTTGTGAATCTTGTCTATAGCTCTCTTCTCTCTTTATGTTTCTAAATAAGTGAATATAAGTAAGCGTATTGTGTTATAAAGATTAGAAAGTCTCCTTTAGGGAACAAAACACAAAGGGTTCATCATTTATGAGTGGAGGTGCAGTTTTCTGGCTTGAATCTTCTAGTAGCTTATCACTTTTCCTAATGTCAAGATGTCTAAGATAGTGACTTGGGATGAATGCAGAGGAAAGGGCATGGAGAATATTCTAGAACAAGGCTGTCTTTAGTTGTCAAAAGATAAGACATTAGGTTCCAAGGCAGACAATATGAATAACTTGGTTCTTGTTTTCTGAGTTCTTTTATAGTACCTCCCCTGATTGCTGTTTCTGCTTTCAGTCATCATCATATAACACCTGTGGCTGCACCAACTCTATAGGTTACAGTTTCAAACCCCAGCGCCTTCTTGAGACTGTATAAGGGCAAACTTTGAAGTAATGTTGAAAGCCTCTCTGCCATGCCTTTGCTGTTATTTCTCAGTTGAAAAACCAAGCTTAAGTCTTTTGTACATTTCACGAATCCGCAGAAATTTCCTTATTCATCTCAGGTTGCAATCGACAAGTTTTATAGGCAAATATTCTCAAAAGCCACATTATCAGTCCCAGTTCCAAATATGGACAGTATCTACTGGTTTCAGAGCATGAAAACAATCCATTTTAAAAACTATTTCCTCTTCCATGCAGCTGTTGCATAGAGCTCACACATATGTACTACTTCCTGCCTCATGCCCTGAATGTACTCATTTCAAAGCTTGGGTTAGCGCATCTGAAGAGTTCAGATAATTTCTACTCACACCTGTGGCACGTAGTACACCATGAGGAGGTTTTCTTTCTAACTCTTCCTCATTTTGTCTCACTTCCTTTCTTTCTATGTATCTAAGAAGATGTGAAGTTTCTGCTAGGAAGTGTCTTTTCACATGGTCGAGCAGCCGTCATCTATGGATACCATTGTGTTTTCTTGTGGTGGTATACCTCCGGAGCTCTGCACTATCTTGCTTGGTGGGCCTGTGGTAAAGTGATCTCCTCATGTTCCTTTGGGCGCCATTCTGGGCATTTCCTTTAACTTTTTTTCTAGAATCACTAAGTTTTAGTTTTTTTTTTTATTTTAGTGGGACACATCCTCAGAAGTTTTCTCAGAGATGGTGAATGAACTGGAATGTTCTGGAGTTAGGGCCGGCCCATAAATGTCTTCTCACTGATATTTAATTTGATAGCGTGATGTTTAATTTTATATGTTAATTTGGCTGGGAAAAATAAAGTCAAATATTTGACCAAACTTTATTCTATGTGTTTCTATGATTTCCTGATGAGAATAATATTTAAATTAGTGGTCTGGGTAAAGCAGAATGCAGTGTGCTTCAGCCAATAACTTGAAGATCTGAACAGAATAAGAAGCAAAACCCCCTCCTGCCCCAGGTGAGGGATGAGTCTTCCTGTCTCCAAACTCAGTCTGGACTGGCACTGCTGGGGTCTTGAGTTTGTTGGGTCTGACTGGAACCCTACCATCAATTCACTGGGTCCCTAGGCTTTTGGACTTTTATTAAATCACAATTGGCTCTTCTAGGCCTCCAGGTTCCCAACTGAAACATTTTTGGAGGGGTACTTCTTAGTTTCCAAAGTTATGAAAACCAATTCCTGATAATAAATCTCTGCTACAGTCTTGTCTCAGTTTACACACACACACACACACACACACACACACACACATGCAACACACACACACACACAAATACACACATAAACACATAACACGCACACATTGAAAATATTTTTTTATGATAATGTCTCCTGTATTGTAAAGATCTTGAACTTCTGATCTTCCTACATCTACTTCTGAAGTGCTGGGATTGCACTATCATACCCAGTGTGTCCATTGCTAGGACTGAACTCAGAATCTGTGTATACAAGGCAAGAACTCTACTAGGGAGCTACATCCCAAGCCTCTAGCTAAAAATGAATTTGCCTTGGAATTTTGAAGCCTTGTTGACTCTATTTGTTTTCCACAAGTCCCAGGACACTCTATTTTATACATGTTCTTCATTGCTTATAACCTGAGGATTTTAAGGACTCTCCCATTTCTTCTATATAAATGCCATATTGGTATAGCTCAGTGTGAGCTTTCTTTCTGAGTAACTATAGTGGCTTCTCAGAATCATTGTAATCTGGTTGTCAAGGCCTCTTATCTAGAAGGTGTTCTTTATTCTTCCATCTCTATTATTTTTTTCTCTTTTACTGAAGCTCATATTTTGAACCTCTTGGGTTGATTTTTTAAATTTCATTATATTTTTCTTCTCCTTTAAATAGGCTTTTTTATTTTTACTGTTGTGGTTTGTGTATGTGTGGTTATGTGTATGTGTGAATGTGTGTGTATGTGTGTGTGTGCACGCACACACGTGTGCACACGTGCATATGTGTAGACCAGAAGGGAGAGAAGTTTTCAGCCTTCTGAAAGGGAGTGGATGAAGTCCTCCATGACTATGTACTCTTCACATAGGCCTAGGCATGTCAAAGGCCCCAGTGTTTCAGACTCATGAGAATAGCAAAGTCTTCCTTTCGTCAGGCTCAGGGAAATTGCAAAGCCTTCCTCTGAACCATTTGTCGATGTTGACAGTGTGTATAGAAAATGATGACTGCACCCTCTTCTGGGATGTTTATAGCCTGAGACTGTTCCCCTACAAAGACCTGTAGAGAAGCCCGCCTCCTTCTTAGTCTGGACACACTAACTCTGCCTCCTCCTGTAGCTGTAGATAATAAACCTGCTCCCTAGACTGAAACCCAGACATATATAGTGAATATGTGGAGTTTCCTGGATACTAGTGTATCTCCATCAGAATGCACAGTGCACAGTGCACACACAGCACGAGCACACAGGATCGCAGTTTTTGTATGTGCCTTTGTTTACTCTGTCACCCCAATCAGGTCATCCCTGATGCTGTGTAAGTCAAGGCAGATCCCTGTTTGTCTTAGTTCTACTTCGTGGATAAGTTCTTCATTCTCATCTTTAAGTGTTTATATTATTTTTACTCCTGAATTTTTTTCATCTTCATTGACCTCCCCAACCCTATTACATCTTCAAAAATACTCATATTTTTCCTTTATAGAAACACCCCCCCAATTATCTGTAAAATATAGTTTCTTCCTTTCTTTTCTCCTCTCTGAATTTTCTCCCATGCCTCATCTTCTGATATCTTTACTTCCTGTTTGTTCCTGTTTCCTGCTACCTATCTACTCTCTGGTAGAAGTGGGCTCATCAAGAGCCAACAATCACATTAGAGAAGAAAGGTGGGGCGCTTTCTCTCCCCTTTACTCTAAATAGTACCATCTGTACATTTAGTTTTCCCAAAGCCAAGTTTTTCAAACTCCTTTCTTGGGCATAGAAACACCATGCCAGCATTTTGGGATCTGTGTGGGGACACTTGCCAGGATGTGTGTGGGTGCAGGTGTGTGCCTTCACCAGTGGCTTTTCACACTCTTCCTCTTTTGCAGGACAGTGGCCTGCCTGTGTGTATGTGTTTGTGGGGTGGGGGGTGGGGAGTTGGCTCTAGAGGACTTTCAACGTCTCTGCTTTTCAGCAATGCTAGTTTGAGCTCTGCCATGTACCTCTGTCCTGTGGTCTTCCCTGGGATTCTGGTCTTAATGGTTTCTGAGGGATGGATGGGTAATATTGATCATACTCCTCCCTGTAGATTAAGAATTCAGCATCTCTGATCTGCTATGTCTTACCCTAGTCACACAACCACTCTTGTCCAGTTTTATGTCCATCTCCTAGTTGCTGGCTCCTCTTCTCTTGATCTGTTCAATCTTAGGGGTTTATTGAATTTTTTAATTGTTATTTTGGGGGACTTAGGAGAAGTACATATGAATACTCAAACTAGAACCTAGCATTTTATTCTAAGCGCATTCTTTGAATTTTATCAATCTGACTTTTGGGGGAGTAATTCAAGAATACTTTACGGTCCAGCAACATGTTAAACTGGTGACACATACACCATCAAGAGCCAATAGAAAGCATTAAATAAATTTAACCAAACCACTGGGACTGAGTATGGGTGGAACTCTGCTGAGTCGAGACTCACCAACTTTGTAATGGATGCAGCCTTCCAAGTCACCAACGGTGATCCAGCCCTGCTTCTTTTCCACTTCTGGGTCATTGTGAAGGATTCTGTTTCTTAACCATGAGAGATAGTACACACGGAGCTTATTCTTCTTTCCTGTGGAAATAAGAGAGTTTTAAGTTTATTTTCTGTGATAGCCTTCTCTCTTTTTCCCTCACCTCCTCTAGACTCCTGCTGGCATTTGTGTGTGAGTGAGGGCAGACTAGCCAGGGCTCTTAGCTCTTCCCCACTGTTATTTCTGTCAAGACTTGTAAAGATAGACCCTAGTATTTTCACCCAAATCCACAAATTTAAGTGATTTCTTATTTGCACAAGCTAGTCTCCTGAACTCTATAACAGAGTTCCAGAATATTCTAGACCCAATCGTATTGAAGTGTTAGCAAGTGGGCATTTTAGCCTACCTATGTGTGTCTCCTCCTCTTACTTTTGCTCCCCTCTCTTTGCCTCCTCTGTTACATCAAAGACAATTTTTTTTTTTACCAGTTTTATATATTTAACTGGTAAAACAAAGGAACGGAACAGAAGACAGAGAAACAAATTCAGTAAAGCTATTTGAGTTTAGGAGATGCTATTAGACAAAGCTATGGTGCTGAGGTAATCAAAAAGAATATTAAATAAAAACATCAAAGAAGAAAATAAAAGGACTCAGAATTCAAAAAAAGGTTAAAAGTTCCCTTTGGTAAAGAGATTCAAAGCATTCCCAGGGTGATAAAACACCAGGTCGATGGCACGGAAGACTTTATGGAAAGCAAAATGAATCCACTCCATTGGATTATCTGAGTACCACAGGGAAAACACACACTTCTGTGGCTCTTTCTTAATGAGAAATTTAGGCTTGTGGATTTTATTTCTCAGATATTTTCCATCGCATTGAAAGAGGTTTTATGTCCTACAGATGGGATATGTACTAGAGGATGGGAATTCACGAGAGCATCCTTCACTGGCTTGACAGCACAGTGCAATGAGACTTAAACCCTGGGAAGCTCGGCACAGCTGCTGCTCATCCACTGTCAGCAGAAGCCTAGAGCCCAGGTACTTAGGCTAGCCACAGCGAAGCAGGGCTGTGCGCCATCTTTCCAGTGCCAATAGGAACCGAGCTGTTCCAGAATCTTAGTTCTTACTTTATTATCTCGTTTCTCCCTTTATGCTCCATGATAAGAGGAAATAGTTACACCCTGAAGGATGAAGACGGTCACTAGCTTGAACTTGAACTTTCTGATAGTGTTTCCACTTTGGATAGAGGACAGATGTGTGGTTTCAGTTTTGATTTAAGAGTGGAGTAACCAAGAAAGCAATTAGCCAGAGACAAAGGCCACACAGAACTCAATGCAAATCATAGTACAAAAAGAATTTACTTGGTTAACCTTTATTTGCAATAACCAAACTCTAAACAGTCAGTAGAGAGGTAGAACACAGATGAGGATTATGGGACAAAAGACTGCATTTTTCTCAAACCACAAGCACACTTTGTGAGTTAGACTTTCATCTTCAAGGTTCAACCCAGAAGCTTTGTGGCGTCTCTTCACAAAAAAGATGAATAGAGCTCATAAATTAGATTGCATGATGGGAAGGTGCCAGAGCTATCAATGCTGAATGTCTGCACCTTATCCCAGAGATTCTGCCGCTGGTTTAGGGATGGCTTGGGTTTTCATATCTACTGGGTGGTTCTAACACATAAGGGGTACCGTTGATTTCATAGTAGATAAAGTAAAAAGGGAAGAGGGTGATTTGGTCAAACAACATCGGGAAGAAAAAAATACCTTCTTATCAATAAGCATAGGCTCCACTTATATTTTTCCCTTGTTAGAAATGAGGCTTATTTGTTATCTAACAAAGCCTTTTTCTCATTTTAAAAAGCTATTGATACTGTAAAAATATACTGGTAAGGATGCCACCACTCCATCCTCTTTGTAGAATTGGCTAACCAGTACTGCAATGGTCTGTCTTAAAACATTAGTGGATTATAAGCAGATGTTTTGAGAAAAAAAAAAAACTAAAGAAATGTTTGCTTGCTAATTCTCCTCCTAGAAGGGGATAGATTTTGATATTCTCCATATGAGAGTATGGTAGTAACTGTAGCCCAGACAGCTTAAGAAGGTTCATGCTGAATTTTAAGGAAAGTAAAGGCCAAAATGCACAGCTTTTATGATACAGGTCTGTCTCACACAGGTTTGAAGCGTAAGTAAATCTTCCTGGGAGGCCAGAACCCCCAGCATTGCAATACATGTGGGTGATCTCCCCCCAGCTACAGTGTGGTACATCTCCTGCGGTTGACTAGGCAGGGCTTCTTCAGAGACCAGGATGTCACCTTCCTGTCTGGGCACACCTCGGGTCAGGTCAGCTTAGTAACACACCTGATATCGTGACAAGAACATTTAGGCCTTCCAGCACATCCATCTGCTGAAATCGCCTCCGGTTGATTAAATTGTAGACTTTGCCTTGGCCACTTCTGTCCAAAAGCATCAGGCCGTTTTCAGTCCCCACGAGAAGGTTTACACCTGCAAATGCAAGAAGCACTCAAGGACTGACCTTTTATGGGCCTTATAACCTTATGCCACCCAGAGAATGATTCCATGCTCATATAAACAAATGGGCAGGTAGCTGCTAGGGTATAGACAGTGTAGAGGTGGAAGGTACAGACAGCTATTGCATTACATCACTGTTCCTCTGGTAGCAGAACTACAGTTTCATTTTATGAAGTGGAGGCAGCAATACATCTCACCTATCCATTTACTACCTAGCTCAGAGAGTACTTGCCAAGAGGAGCCTTAGGCAGAGATGTGCAAGTAAGCAATTGTGTTCATTTCCCTGTTTCTGGAGGGTCTCCTCTTCCTTGTGCTCCCTAGATACCAAATTTCTTTCTTCCTAGAGCACCCCCACACCACCCCAGTACCCACCTATTCGTCCAGTGATTTCTGAGGCAGCTAACCTATCTACCTTAAAAACACGAAAGATTCCACTTCCACACTCTCTCAGCATGGAAGCCCTTGCTCCTCCTCGAGCACACACTGATGGGTCTGCTTTTTTGGTCAGGGGAATGATAAGCCAGTTCATGAGAAGGTGAGTCATAGGACTATTGATTTTAAAGAGTTCTCAATTACCCAAATTCTAGCCCATTTGTAAGCAGTATTCCTTATCCTAAAGCTGGCAGATATGTCATTTCATCTAGATGAATGTAACTCTAGAATTTCATAGCTAAACAGCTTAGTCATCCACTTACTAAAATGCACCTACAAGGAGGATTCACCGTGTAGTAGAGCTGAACATCCTTTAGTACATTTCTATCTTCTGAAAACATGACTGTCCGCTACCACATTTAACGTATTTCTGTTGTTCTCTAATGAGCCATTATGCCTCACGTGAAACAATTCCCAGGGTTCAATATTCTTTCCTGCTGACATGGGAAATGCCCTTAGCCTTATAAAACCATGATGCTCAATACAAGCCTGGCAATACGGATGGGTTCAGGTGGAAACCCTCCCCCAATCCTTCTTATGATGCTGTGAGCAATAGAGGCCAAGATTTTGATAACAATCTCCCCATGTCTATAGTGAGTTTGAACCCAGCTAATATCTGTAGATCCACTTGATGAAAACGCCACTGATGCTTTCAACAGAAAAGGAAGCCTCATCCTTTGCTGTTCAAGTTTTACCCAATTACTGCCGATGGGGCAGCCTTGGGCAAGTCTCTAAAATACGCTAGGCTTGTTTTCAACTGTGAAACAAAGGTAATGGGATTAGACCCCCTGCAAGATACTTCATGAGTCAGAGATAGAATTTGGGGTAGCCTGGGCAGTGCTTCACATAGAGTGGCTGTGTATCAAGCGCTGGCTAGCTCTGTGTTGATAATGATTTCCCCATCACTCTCTATGCCATCTTGGAAGGCAGATCTTTCTACATATAATCTGCGTTTGTTCACTCCTTAGCCAGTCCCACATCAGCTCCCTAACAACTACAATTCTCCTAGTGTGTTCTGATGATAAGAGCCAAGGGTGTCTAATACTCAAAGGTAAACTGACTAATGAGTAGAAGAACAAAACAAACAAACATAAAAAGCCACCAACGTACCCCACAGAGCTGCACAGAGTATTTCTGAATTGAAGCGTTTCTTGTATTTTCTGATTTCCGGTGTGTCACTATGAGGGCGAATGTTTGTTGGGTTCACATTTACCACTGAAATTTTCCTTGCTTCATTGAGTTTGGCCTGTTCTTGCCTAAGAAGTTCGCTAGTAAACAGGGCTTCAAGAGAAAGAATAGAAAGGTCAATAGCATCTTAACAGGCAGCCAGTGGCAGTATGGAGGAGGGGCTTGGCTTGGGGTGTGTCACACACAGCAAAGGCATGGGAACTATGAACCAATGCCTAGTTTACATGTCATATGCAGAAGCAGTATTTTGTTCATTAGCAAAACAGGCTTACAGACACTCCTTTGAATGGTATAGAAACTTAATACTAATCATACAGATACATATATGTCATTGCTGTAATTACAAGCAAGGAATGGTTCCTTTTTGAGATTCCATATAAGCTAACTTCAAGGATTGGTAAGTTGCAGAAGGTAAAGGAGCAAGGCCATCCTCTTAGTGAGCCAGACCTGCAACAGAAGCACACGCCTGGGGCTCAACACAGCTCAACAAGCATTCATGGGGAGTTCAGCATCACGCTACTTTGAGCATAGCAGTATACCCAGAAACTGTTTTTGAGAAATATGCAGTAAGTCTCGAGATCGCTGTGGGGTGGCTTTTCCTAGTGTCCTGGGGTACCTCTGGGTTTCTTCCAGAAACATGATAGAAAAAAAAATCAGGAGTGGGACAGGGGAGAAGGAAAGTAATTTGCTTTAGGAATTCCACAAAGTAATAAATTTAAAAATATCTTTATCTTAAGATAGGGAGGGTGTATGCCATAAATGGTGTACCCTCTGACTTGATGGGTTTGGCACTAAGCTGTACCAGAAAGGATGCCTGTTCCTAAAACACCAGGGCCAGCTTGCTTACCAGCAGCTGAAGACTCATCATCCTCTTCATCTTCATCAGTGGGTGATGTCTGGTACACACGGGGGTCCACGAAGGGGGTGAAGGAGGCTTTAGTGCTGCTCCCCATACCATACTGATCAAAAAGCAAGAAGGAGAAGTCAGCACTGTTGGGACAGGTGGTGCTGACCTTGTTTTGCCCAGTCGTGACAGTGATTACAGACCTCTCTGCTGTCCCCTTTCCACTCCCTAGAAGCCGAGAGTCCCTAGGCCTCTGTCCAGTCTCTTCCTGGTTCTGGGACTCTCCTAACACTGTGTGTGTGCATAGGGATCCATTAGTGATCAGACTATGGGTGCTTCAGGAAGAAAATTACATTTTGGATGGCAGGTGGCACCTTGTAATGGCCAATACTAACGTTATTGGCCATTACACCCACAGAACTTATTTCTTTCTACTTTTAAGTCAAGTCATCATGCATTGACCAAATGATAGTAAGAAAATCAAAATCTAAGGCATGTTGCCACAGCAATATTCCATCCCAGAACAGTCAGATCAAGAGATCCCTTCATGGAAGGTAGCTTTTGGGCCCTTCCATCCTGGCCTGATGATACATGTGGACTTGAATCAGCTCTAACAGAGTTAACTTCTTTAATCAGAGATCATTTACCTAGGGATTGATGTTTCCTTCCCTCAGTGGCGTAAGAGGATGCTAATGTCACATGCTTTATGTGGGGATTTGGTATAGTCGCTTTTATATATATATATATGCAATATACTTGGAGGGTAAGTCCCTAGGGCTTAGACCAAACCAGAAAGGCATAACATCAGAACTAGATGAGGGAAAATATATTCAATATTAGCATTTGGTGTCATAATGTGATTGAATTTTGTCAAAAGAGGTGCTATAACTCTTTGCCCATCTTGTCTGTTAGCTTCTTCCCTTCTACAGTACCCATCGTGTGTGTGTGTGTGTGCGCGCGCGTGTGCGCGCGTGTGTTCGCGTGCACATACATTCTTAAGCCCTAATTATATAAGGACAAACTTGAAAATATCCAATTTGTTTTCCTAACTCACAGATATCTAGTTCAATTCCCTTCAAGATTTTCCCTCTACCCTTTGGTATCAAATTCCTTTCCTCCTTCCCAGGTAGGAGTTCCTCCTCAAACCAGTACTTTTACATGTTTTCTCTTTCATCCTTAAAAGTCCAGGAAGGAGATGGTAAAACATCTCCTCTTACAGCTGGGATAGCAGCAGCATTTGAACCAAAGTTCTGTCTGCAGGGGCCCTCCTTGGTACTGATAGAGGACTTTGGGTGAAAACATCTGCCCACACTGCATGAAACTACAACAGGATGCTGAGCTTTTCAAGATGCTCATGGGTTCTTTCTTGTCCTTGGGGCATCTTAAGAGCACAAGCCTCACAAAAATTCAGTCTGTGGGTAATGTTAAACACAATCATATACATGTTTTATAAAAATATTGAAGGCCTTGTGTGTTAGTCTCAGGACTACCATGACATAGCCTTGCATTCATCCAATAATGTCTAAGAACTGGATGTGTTCCCGCAGACACTCCCAGGTCTGCTTCCACATGGGAAAGACATCTTATTCATTAACCTGGTGCAACTTGGAGAAAGAACCAATCTCTTATCCATTAAACCCCAGGAACCTATCATTCAGAAACAAAACATTTCAACTTCACTTTCTTCAAGTCACGCTTAGTTTGAATAAATCAGTGCAAAGATGAGTCACACCTCAGGGAGCCTGGAAGTCTCCCTGCTCTGTCTTTTCTCCCATGGGTTTATGACACAGGAGGTCCACGTTCTGGCTCAAGCACTGTGGTAAACTAGCTGTGTGTCCTGGGCCAGTCATCTAACCTCTCTGGTTTTTACCATTCTCAAGTCCTATCCATAGCACAGGAATTGGGCCAGACGGTAAATGAGAACTTGTTGTTGTGTCTATGGTTTCTCTAAATATTGGCATAAGCAGCCATAGAACAGAAACCAACTGAACACGATCCAGAGAGTGTGGCAAAGCCTGAGCTTTTAGGTCATCAATGTATAGAGCCTCATGGAGGAGAACAGAACTGTCATGACTACTTCGAGGCACCTACTTCAGCTCCAGAGTCCATCTCCTGGGAATGAGTGGAGACACGGCCCAGCCCCTCAGTGGGAGTCCCAGCTGGTGAATGGCTCTGCTGCACAAGGTCTGGGAGATTGATGTGACCAGCAAAGCCATTACTGTCACTGTGGCCAGATCGCTTCTTCTCTTCAGCCGTCTGAGGGATGTAACACATGGGGCTATTAGAGAGAGGGGCATTCGTGTCTAGGATGTGTGTTATCCCACACATCCTAGACCTAACAGACTCCAAACTGATCTACTGGGAAGTCTAAGGTGGTACACAGATCAATACCTCACCACAAATACGGATTCCAAACTGATTTAACTGGGGAGCATGGGATGGTAACACTGAAATTTCTACTATGCCTAAGAAAATAAAGACATTAAGCCTTGTTAATATTTAGTAAGTGGACTGACTTTCAGGTCTTATGCTAATACATGAAGGATGCCACAAATGGAGGCAGAGTTAGGACCAGAGCTGCTGCCAAGTTTCTTTTCTGCAGCGTGTGTGTGTGTGTGTGTGCACGCGCACGCACGTGTGCTCACGCACATGTGCATATGCATGCTACCAGATAATTGGATTTACAGACCATATTGTCAGATTATATTGAAACAATTACCCAAATCCATCTGAAAATCACTGAGATGAAAATATACCAACACACACAACCCCAAAGAAAATTCTGTGTATTTCAAGAAAACACAGAGATGTTATTTACCCAACTCACAGGGTTCTTTGTCAGTGAGAAGGTCAAACAATGATTAGGCACACCTGACAGGAGTCCTAAGCCATAGAAACACTCTAGCAGATTATTTGAAAATAGAGACAGAGCTATACACATGCTTTATGAATAAGCTCTAAAATTGTTATTGATAGGAATGCAGGAATTAAATGCTTTAAATCTGGTGAGATCAGCCACCTCCCTAATTCCAAGGGAACAAAAATAATTAAAAGAAAACCCCCAAATTTAGTGCATCTAATTGGCTAGTTTTATAACCCTCCTTCCCCCTTGCTTTTATCTAAGGGTAACTTAGTACCTGCAGATCAACCATGTTCCATGTCTCACTCTCTGGCAAGAATCGTTCCATTCTCAACTCGGGTGAGATCACTGCTTTAGTTCCCAGATATGGGAGAGATCCTGTGTACTATTCCACTTGATGTGATGGTCCCTAATACCATCTATTATGCCTTAAACAACAGGATATACCTCTTCTAATGGCTAAATAGTTTTGCCTTTTCTGTCTGGACCACAGTTTCTCCATCTTTTGATAGGGTGATGAATGGAAAGGTGGTTCTCACTCTTGGCAGGTGTGAGTGGTGCTGACACAGGCATGCAGATGCCACTTTGACATACTGATTTCATTTCTTTGGAGAGTCTCCCAGTAGTGGGACTGCCGGATCACAGGGCAGTTCTATTTTTAACTATTAAATGATATCACATCAAAAATACACAGAGCCCCTTTTCCCACACCCTTGCCAGCACCTGCTATTTTTGGTCTTTTTGATAACAGTCATTCTGATTTAGTTGTTGATTTTTATTTTGGTTTTAATTTACATCTCCTTGACAACTAATGATTTTGAATAGTTTTCCATGTGTCCAGTAACCATTTACACATATTCTTTCAAGAAATCCCTGTTGCTCATGTATAAGTTACTGTTTTTCTATTGATGCTTCTGAGTTCCTTATATCATCTAGATGTCGGCACACTGGTGAATATTTTCCCTGTTCTGTTGATTGTCCCCATTGCTAACCAAACCCTTTGTTGTGCACAGCTCTGCCCTTTTCAGGGTATGTACCTAGTTCACTGGGGAATCTTTAGGGCAGACCTGAGTGGTGATTTCCCTCCTGCTTCCTTTCACACTCCCCTTGCTTCCTTTCCCTCTCCATCTCTTAGCTCAGCATTGCTGAACACCTACTGCACATGGAACAGTTTGCTTAACACAGAACAGCCAGGAACATGGCAGCTATGTTTCCCACCCTCCAGGGTTGGTACTGGCAAAAGCGTGTGCTGTTTCTTTTGCCACCTCACTGGTCCAGTGTGATGCTTAACATTCATCTTCAACCTGACTAGATTTGGAATCACCTAGGAGACTCATCTTTGGGTGTGTATGTGAGAGGGTGTTTTCAGAGAGTTTTGACTGAGGAGGGAAAACCCACCATAAATGTGTCCTGGGTGAGTAATCTGAGAACTGGAGGAAAGGATAGGAAAGCCTGATGAGTATCCCTTCCCCTCCCCCACACAGTTTCCTGATACTGGACACCATATAACCAGCCAACTCACCCACCTCCACCAGATTGTCCCCACCTCAAATGATACACTCTATTCCCTCATATCCTGAGCCAAACCAAATTCTTCCTGCCTAAGTAGCTTTGCTCAGATACACAGCCAGAGTGAAAAGAAAAGAAAGGACCATACTCGGCTTTCCTCAGACTCTGTCTTGAGTGTACAGTTTCTGACCTACACTTGCCTCTGTCTGAAAATCCAAGTAGCCACTTCTTTCGTGTGTATGAGATAGAACATACCCACAAGATCCCAAGGATGTGTGTGTGATTTATACATAAGGAAGCTTGATAAATGTCTGCTAAGCTTAGTGTCATCTGTTTCCTGGACTACAGACCGTCCCAGTGAGGGTCCAGTCCTCAATTCATTTTGTCGCAGTGTTCCTTGCGAGCGAGCATGGATACATATTCTCCGCATTGAGCATTTCATCTTCTAAGTGACATTTAGGCGGCTCGGCTCTCGCTCATCTATCTTAGTGTCCCTGCTTTTTATATGTGCTAAACAGCTTTCCCTCCTCCCAACTTCCATTCTGTACTGAAAAGCCTTTTGACATTTCCCCCCAATTTCCACAGAGCATAAATCACACCTTGTCACTTTAGAGTTTTTAAGTTTCTCTTGTGTCACTGGCATTTTCTTCCAGGCCTTGAAACTGACGAAGATACAGTGGTTATTAAGAAAAGACTTGAAGGGCTAGCTAGGGATATATCTCAGAGATGGAAAAGCCTGAAGCAATGACCCTCGAACCTCTCACTTCTGGGTCATCACCCCTTGGTTCCATCAACCAGCGCCTTTTCATCAAATACCTTCTGTGTTCTAGGCTCTCTCCTGGGAACACAAAGGAAATTGAACAACAGCCCTGCATTCCTGAACCTCATTAAGAGAATCCCAACTTCTCTGATTTTGATAACCTCACAAATATGCTCTGTATTTTAACAAATGCCAGGTACTGCGTTGAACACTCTTCATCAGCACCACCTTACAGAAGGAAAAAGTGCAGTGCAAGACAGCCAAGTGACTCTTCTTAAGTGAGGCTGTCTGGTGGAGTACAGTAGCTCTGGGGCACACTGCTGCAATGCGAGTGACTGTCATAGTTTATTGGACTAGGAGAGTAAACCTGTACCAAGTGGCACAGAATTCCCAGGAGAATGTTCGTGTAGACTGGGAGATGGGGACCAGTCTCTCCCAGCAGCCCACTGGGCTACGGTGAAGATCTCATAACGGAACAAGAAGAGATGAGAACGCAAGTATGCAGAGGGGACAAAGGGGGACTGTGGAAAGAAGGCAGGAGGCAAGCAAAGGTGCATATGAGAGCCACCGAAGTCCTTGTCTCTCTTTAGTTTCTGCTTCCACTCTACCTCTACACAGGTGCCCCACTAACTGTGTCTTGAGTTCCTTCCATGGAATATGAATATAAATAGTTTGTGAATTTCAACTCTTCTTTGTGTGTTATCTATAACTCCCAATGCCCCCCTAAACTCTGTAAAAGTGTGTTCTTTCTATTTTATCTATAATAAAAAGCTTCATGGTACAAACTAGTGTTCTCACTCTATTGGGTAGGTGGATGAATACTAGAGAGGGTGTGAAGAGCTTCAGGAAAGCACTATCATTATTGACTGCAAAGAAAGCCTTCTAGAAGGGAGAGCCGAGGCACAATAGAATGGAAAGAGAAAGAAAAGCAAAATAGCATTTCCAGGAGATGGACACTGGAGATGAGATGGTTGGTAAGAGTTGGCTGGTGTGGCATACTCCAGTGGAGTTGAAAATGGTTTCATGGAGGTGTGAGATAAGACAGGACGACACAGGAGGAGAGCAGCCAGGGAGTACACCAGGATATATGCATGGGGCAGTCATAGGTAGCATGGCCAGTAGAGCCTTTCTTTCTTTCTTTCTTTCTTTCTTTCTTTCTTTCTTTCTTTCTTTCTTTCTTTCTTTCTTTCTTTCT